AGTGAAAATACTTTAGAATCAGATCACTCGCTTTAGATGAGGAGGGGCTGCTGGAAATTTTGCCAGGGTTCACAGCCTCTCAAATAATGCATGTCTACCGCAGCCTAGTAAAAACCAGCATGCAGTCGGTCGGGATCCCTAAAACTGCAGGGCATATTACCTTGCTGGCAGCCACATCCCACGAACCTTCTTCATATGTCATTGTTTCTCAGGCCCTTGCCTTCCAAGAGCTTCTCGCATCAGAGAAGGGTCGGATGCCTCAGACAAGATTAACGCAGCTTCAAGATGTTGTCACTGCAGCCAGCAAGTGAATCATGATTGTTTGTATGATGAAAGCTCAATGTGTTACTGCTTGCGACAAATAGATGTGTCATACGGTGTCATACAGTCATACAGTTGAGTAAGCCGCCATCACCACCCAATCACGTAAAAACCCTAGATATGTCACACAGCTGAGCAAGCCGCCACCACCACCCAATCACGTAAAAACCCTAAACCCAAAACCCTGAATGGGCATTGATTTGAAGGTCCTTTTGGGGAAATCATTCAGGGATCCTGTACGTGTAGAAGGAAATATCTTGGGGAAATTGTTTTCCATAATGGCCGGAGTAACAACGATCAAGTACCGAATCCTATGTAAAGCCGATACCTGGCTATCCTGCTATCTACCACCACCATCACCTTAACACTGAAGTGCGCTACCTAGGACTCCTGTCATCCACCAACATAAGCCTGGAGCCAACAGCACAGCACATTCTCACGTATTGCAGCAATTCCCGTGACACAAGCTCCTATCCATAATCCTGAACCGCAATGCCTCCTGTGCCTTCTCGGCCACCGGGTCCCTGGCGCTGCCGCTCAATCCGGACATGTCAAATCCTGCTTGACTGGAATTTAGGAATGGGGAACGCCAGCTGCAGGCTTCTACTCCGAATTGAGAATTTGGCTGCTAGCCAGCTAGCTAGCGAGTTACCAAGTAGCACATGTTTAAATTGTTGAGGAAGGAGGCTGTAGTTCAGCCTTAAACACGCATGCTGCCAGCTGGCTTGCCAGCCAGCAGCCGAGGTGCAGTTGAGAAGCCTCAAAGAAATGCGCGGGAATCCAGGCGAAGAGCCAGAAGGCGGGCTGCCAACACAAGTGCCCGAGTGAGACGTTCAAGGTTTAGTGCGTCAGGCCGCACAAGCACAGGTTGCAGCAGCCGAGGCACGCAGTGATGAGCTTATGGTTGGCGATTAGACGCTTGAAACAGAGATTCGCTGTAGCAGCTCAGGAACCATGATTTCCAGTCACACAATTTCGCGAGGATGTGCCGCGAGAAGGGCGAGAAACGCTAGTTGCTGGACCTTTCTTCCCCTCCAGCCTTTATGATGTCCTCTTTCTGGACCACCTTGAAAGTGTTTGATACTAGCGCAAAGCCATGATTGCTAAACAAGCCCCTGGCCTCCATGGCCAAAGTAGGCCGATCGTTCGGAGCACCCTTGCAAAAACACTTGAAGAGAACTTGTGAAAGTATTGCAACAAATCCAGGCCAGATTCATGATTCCCTTCGTGCCTCTGCGGCAGCTGCTTCTGCCTCGCTAACAAGTATTGTCGCCGATGCCAGATCATGACAGAGTGCATTAGTTGCTACCTTGACACATTGGATCTGTATGATTCAGTCGTGGCGGCACATGAGTAGTTTGGCGCGCAGTTGCGGAAAGTGGAGACGCTGGTTTCTACCTGAGTCCCTCTCCCGAAGGCGCAGCGCGCAGTCCAGCGCCCAAGATTGTAAAGCCTATCTTGGCGTTGATGCGCGTAGCTTCTGCAACACCAACTTTCGTTTCACCTGTTAATGATTGGCAGAGGAGGACTTCTGCTGGGTCTTTGGTTCGGTTTGTTTGGGTTGCTGGGTTTTGCGCGTTGGTTGATTCTTTCTAGTCCTCCTCTCCCACTTTATTTGATTGTACATCGTTTTCGTGCTTTGACGGCCATATTTGGTTGTCCTTGGCAGACACTGAGGCTGGCTAATTAACGATGGAGACCGCAAGGCTCTGTCGTGTTTTCTTTTCTGCTTTACCGGCCATCGGAATGGATGCACTAGCGAAGCTTTTCGAGCAAAAAAAACCTTCAGACAGGGAAAACACGACAGGGCAATTCGCTCGAAGTGTTCCTGGTAGGAGTGGGACACTTTAAGCAGAGTGGCAACTTCTTTGGGCAAGGCGAGGTAGAGTGCACCGTGGGAAACCATTTGTGTGGCTCCTCCCCTTGCCACATTATGAGGAGCGGAATACTTTCAATCTCCGTCAGGATTGGGATTATCCAGCGCTGAGAGCGATGATTGCCCATTGTCGTCCCGTTAGCCCCGCTAAAATCAGCATATGGGGAATCTCCTGCGGAGGCCTCGCAGTCTGGGAAGCGGCGATGCAGGATGGCCACTTCTATCAGGGGCTCGTCACCATGTCGGCGGATGTCCTGGACATGCACACACCCCGAAACTTTTTACGATCCTCCTGCCTGGCATCCATAGCCGCCACTGCCACGGTTTGTCTCTGCGTTCGGGGGGCCTATGAAGTATGTGGGCTGCAAGCTCTTTGTGTGCTGGAGATGCCACAGAGACTCGGAAGGACTCCGGCATGGTGCTCCCTCACACCAATGACACCTATACAATCTGTGTCGTGGACTATACCATCAACCTGAAAGACGCACAAGCTGCAAGCGGGGACCGCCTCACAGTACGGCTCATGACCTGTCCCAAGCTGCTGTATGAGTACAAGGGAGGCCTGTGGGATGACCATCATTGCGTGTGGCAAGTTGCACTGAATGATCCCGCCTGGAATATCCCAGAATTCTTCCTGGGGGCTGAACAAGCAGGTTCTAAACATTTCCATTTCTAGCCACTCAGCAAGACACTCAAGACATGTGGATGTAAGAACTCACACATTCGGACATGCGCTCACACACACTTTTTGGCGGGAACATAGCACAGGAAGCAAATCACAATCAGTGTTGATACCAAGTGCTACGAAGAATCCGAACACCAATCATCTAACTGCCAAAGGGGTGCGCGTGATGCGCGGCTCGCTGCGTCCTCTCACCAATCATTTAAGTGAGACGGGCATCACCCCGCGCAGCGCCTGCTGTGAGGCAGAAGCAGTTAGCAACGGCTCAGCAAGCCAGATGGCTAACGCGCAGACGCAGTGGCCCTCATCGCTGCACGAGAACGCAAGACCAATCTAGAAGGGCCCGGCACCACGGGGGAAGCAACACAACCGCGCACCGTGGGTAGGCTTCCTTCACATGGCCTGCATGACTCACCGAACCCTCCCCAGTGGCTGGGAGATATGAAATCACTAGCATCCGGGACGAACATCATCAACATGATCCGTAGACAGCACGCAAGGCCCCCCCACATTCAGCAGAACATCCCAAAGGTCACTGGAGACATGACACACCGCTGGGACCCCAGGATCTCAACTCAAGCTAGCAGGCTAGGTAGCACTAAGTAGCAAACCAAGATCCAGTCAGGCTGGAAGGCGTGCGGGCAACCTACTCCGTCGCAACATCAAAAGACCTGTATTCACCAAGCAACCCAAGTGCTTGAGGCCGGAGGGGAATAGACAGAGACTTCTGCGCTCCGCAGGCAAACAGCACACAATCGCACGGCAGGCCTGGCACGCCACGATGCCAACCGCGGAAGATGCCTTCCACACGCCACACAAAATTTACGACACCCGACGACCTCACGCAAAGGCTGGCGACACGGGCGGACACCACGTCAGCCGAGCATCGGCCGGAAACAAGCGAACATCCCTGTCACAGTCCCAGATGGCACTGATAGGGCAGCGGATCCTGAACTCGGGATCCTAAGGCAGGGGTAACTCATCTGCTTGGTTCCACCGACTCAACCAGTCAGCCTCATCGTTCTTGGCCCCTGGCACGTGACTAGCATCCAGAGTGATGGCATGTGTCCACGACTGCGTAGCAAGCTTCTGCACGAAGAAGCACAATGGAGCCACGGTAGTAAAAACTTTGTTGACAACCGATTCGGCCCCGGAGTTATCTGTCAAGGTAAGGTAACCGAACTCGACACCGCCCACCTCGGCAAGCACTGGCATAGCACAGCACCAGTGCAACTTGCGCCAGCGTCTCGTAACACACGATGTCAAACTGTGCCAATTCCTGCATTGGCAAGCCAAGGCCAAGAAAATCCGCCACTTTAAAACACTCGGAGAACCATATGGGGGGCTCACCAGGGAATCGAACCCAACCTCCTATGCCTATGTGATCCCCGTGCGCGCATGCGTCCGCAGCTGCTAGAGACGCAAAATTAAGCTTAGGGTTAGGCAAAGGGTCCAAAATTCAGCAAATTGTCTCGCCGAAGGACTGAGCCTACGCTTGTGCCCGGGTCCGCCACACGCATCCACATGCGCTTGCCGGTGCACTTGACCATGGCAAGATCCTTTTTTGATTTGAGGGCGCGATGCCGCGCTGCAAGAAGCACAGCTCCCACGGAGATGCTAGTACCCGGCGGCCTAGTGTGAAAAACCATGTTATCATCTAGATAGCAGCTCATTTTTTGCCACACTGGCAAGCTGGCAGAAAAGTTGGTCGCAGGAGGCCGGTCTTTATCGAAGTACAGAAAGCATAGCCACGGGCGTAGCTGTGGGCACATCTGCATAACCCAGTGAAGGATGCCGATAAGCTTTTCAAGGGACTTGACTGTAGTGCTGGCCGGTTCAAGGACATCACGCAGGGCCTGCAGGAGGCGTACGATCTTGCTGCTGGGGAGCCGGAAAGCAAGTGAACGGAAACACAGCTGCAACCCTACAACCTCGGGCCCAAGCTGCAATTTCCTCCAACTCAAAGGATAGCCGAAAGCCTGACAAAGCCCCAGGAGCAGCGCGGCGCCAAACGGAAGCACCGAGCCAGCCTGGATCAGCAAAGCGTCATCCACATATATCATGAGAACATGGCTGATCCACACAAGGCGGTGACCAACCCGAGTCAGGAACCCAGCTAACCGCTGCCACCATAGCGCAGAGAAGGCGCCTCCAAAAAGGGGTTACCTTATATAAGTAATAACGGCCGTGTATGGACACACCGAGAAGTCCACGCTCAGATTCTCTGACCCGGACGGTCTTATGCGCAGCAGCAATGTCCAAAGTGAATCCACCAATTTCTTCACCGCACCCACGGAGAGGCACTGCATTGCGAAGGTCCTCCAGAGTAGGAAGCGTGAACCGTTCTGGGAGGAAGCAAGCTGGATTAACGCCCGAAATTGTTGGGTCGATAATTAAACGAGGCTTGCGGCCCCGCGGCCTGCACAACATTAGCTTTGCCTACTGCAACCTGGTCCCAGCGCTGCTGGGCAGTATCAAGGGATGGTACAGGCTCCAAATACCCTGCGGTAAGCTCCTCCTGAATTAACTCTTCAAGCAACTCAGGGGCCTCTTCAGCACCTGGCCAATTGCCAGAGCAGATTTGAAAGTCTTGGTCGCGCGGATCCCAGGAAGGATTCTCCAGCGGTATGAGTGTGTGACTCATGGGGATGTCACCTTTGACGCCAAGAGGAAGGCCACAAACTGACATCCTTATCACCTAGCACAGTGGCCAAATCTTGCAAGGCATCAAGGGAGTACGGTTGCCCAGGGGCGGCCGCCCACGAAATAGGCTCGGAGTGGCCTTGCTCTTGAAACCATGCTTCCCAGAGCGTCCGCATATGCTGCACTTCTGCAGAAGTGAAAAGAGGCTCAGAGGTTGGGGCATCCACATGGGCTCGTAAACGAGAAAATACGGATCTGAGCAAAAAACTTGCGAAGCTCATGACGCACAGACGCAAAACTATCATCGAACCCAGGCTGCGGGCTGGTCCAATCGGGCACAGAGTAGATGCCCCCACGGGAAGCTGTAGGAAAGTCATCCAGGGGCCTGACTGGAATGGTCTGGACTCAGGAAACATCGCCGTGGCCCTGGAAATATATCCCCCATCCGGCCCTTGAATCCCCACAAAACTAGGATGATAGTCGCGGGCGTGAGGGCAAATTCCCTGGAGTTTTTGCAACGCACGCCAGGATGTGGCAAAAATCCAATGCTTGCACGCGTCCATGCCATATAGGCAGGCCGCAACAACTATCAAGTCTGCTTGAATCTGCTGCATGAAAGACTGGACAAATCTTCGCGCCACACCAAAGAATTGCGTGGCTGCTCAAGCGCACAGTGTCCACTGGCTTGGTAGACTGCCAAGAGGATTTGCACAGTCCTTTTTTCGCACTTTGAACCGCAGTGGTCTGATCTGACCTACTAGCGAGCTAGTTACACGACGCATTGGCCGCGGCTGCTCCGTGGCAGCAAATGCTAATGGGTGAAACGTAGAAGCAGCTACCCTACAGGAACCGTAGTTCACTGACTGTGGGAGGGTGCATCAGCGCTACTGAATGACATTACTGTCACGGAGAGGGCCGAGAGACGGCAACCCAATGTTGAGCCGGATACAATACCTGGAGCTACTCCTTCAGAGCATTCTCAGTAGCCAGCCGGCTTGGCGGAAGTCATGTCGAGGAGAGAGCTTCAAGTTGGGGCCATAACAGGCTCCCAAACGGCAGTGATTTTATCATTGCCGCCTTCTCCTCTTGTTCAGTTTCCACTCACCAAGCCAAGCTATAAAGGTAATGCGTTGTTCTACCGGCATGGACCTCACAAGGAACTCAAGCCAAACCTTGGTTCGCGTGTATCTCGAGTGTCTAATCATTACCTCCAGAATTCTATCGCATCCATCAATTCGCTGAGAAAGATAATCACGAAGAAGGTCTTTTGCATATTGTGTTCCATCATCGGGCTCCGGCAAATCTTCTTGTTTGCTCTTGCGGATGATGAATGCGTCATTCGGAAGGAATGGAACATCCCAGTTCGCCCCCATCAGGTCAATCTCCTTGCGGAGAATGTCCTGCAGTGCCACCGGGAGCAAGCCGAACACGTGATCCCGCACTTGGGTCCATGACTGATTCGAGCAGCGGCTCGCCAAGTGGCCGTTGATACTACTTGCGCTTCGTTTGGAGTGACCCTTCTCCATGAGCATGTCGTAATGATGCCGCGTGCACAGTCTGACGACAGCGCGCGCACACATCTCCCTGAAGTCCTCCTCTGCCTCCCTTCTTTCTCTGTCGCTTTCACCTTCATCCGAGGAGGAGGAAGTGCTGGATGAGGCAGACATGCTGGGGACCAGGGATCACCCAAAAGAGGCAGCGCTGATTGTAGTGATCAAACGCTATACAGCATGAAGGTCAATGGAATGGGTAAAAGCACACGCGAGATAGTTGGATGAACTGAAGGAACCATGCAACATACGCTTGAGCTGAATGTAACATCATGGCAGTGGCATTTCCAGGGCTTGCAATAACAAATTCAATACAGCATGTGGCAAAGGCATGCACCCCCAAAAAATTTTCCCCCTTGCGCATGTCTGGTGGCCAAAGGATGGCTCACCTGTGCTGAGTGCCCCCTCAGCATGCGTGGCATCCATTCAGAAGGCGCATCTACCTGGCCAAGCAGCCAAGTATATAGCTCTGTTCCTTGATTTCTTCTGGTATGACAGACAGCCGTTCTGCAGCTTGATTGTCATTGGAGTACCAGCAGTTTGTGTGATCCGGAGTGAATGCAGCAACCCTATAACGCCCCGAGTTTTGATTGGGCCCCAAATGAATGATAGCCACAGTAATGTCATAGACTTTCCAATTGACATTGGCGTGTTCTTGTGAAGTGAACACTGGGAGCATGATTTCCCTTCTGTGTAAGTCAAGAGGGATGGTGTGCTTGACAATGCCGCTAGGGGTTTCTCTATATCTGGGGAGTTGTGTGTACATGTGCTTTGGAGTACTGTGGAGTGCGTGAGTGTGCGCCTGCTCATGCCACTGATTGATGAACTGTTGAATGTCCGAGCTGCACAGCCCGTCTGGTGTAACCATTAGCAGGATGTGCGTGTTGCCGCTACGCAGGAATTCCTCAGCCTGGCCTTCAACTTGTATGCGGGCTCCCCACGAGAATCCATCACCTAGCCAACTGAGCTTGGGCGTAAGGAATTGTATGAACTCAGCCGCATCATGTTGGATATGGGGTTGTCTCCAGCCTATTAGTTGAAACTGAAGGAAATTGACAGGACTCCACTCTCCGCCTGCCATCGCCCTGATCCAGGTATCGAGGATGCTCACATCAACCCGTTGAGAGACCTGCCAGAGGATAGAAAAGACTGTTGAATTGAGGTAACAAGTGTTACTATTGTTTCTCAATTTCTGTCTAATCACTTCATGATGCAACCCAATTGATGGCGCTGGCCTTCTTTCCCTGTTGGTGCCACTGCTGGAGCCGCTTACTCGGCCTCCAAAGCCTTTTGGAGGACCGCGGCCAGTCCGTGTCTCTTCAGGGATGGTGGGCGCATCTGCGCAGCTACTAGGTTCCACACCGTGCAAATTCGCCAGCTGGGTTAGCAGCTCCTGCGCTCGGTGTGCCTCTGGGGATCTCAGGGCGATTTCGACGGTGAAGACCGCTTTCTCGTTCTCCTCTGGTTCCTTCTACATTTTGCGCACCGAATTGAACTTGGTGATGATGCTGTCTTTGCAGCGCGTGCCCAACACCCTGTTGAAGGGAGAGAGCCGCCAGGATTGAGACAACGTTGTTGAGATTGTCGGGTTGAATCCTTTGGCCGTTGCCTCTCTGGCCTCTTCTGGTCTGTCGGGGCCGTTTGCTCGGCTGCCCCTCGTTCTGTCCCTGTTCTCGGGGCTTCTTCGTTGTCCCGTTCTGCTGAGCCGACAGAGCCGGCAGCCAATCTCCGAACACCGACGCAACCTCCTCCGCCATCTTCGTGGAGCAGGCCTAACAGCGCGCAATACAATGTTACACTGTTTATAATGGCGACTGTAAGAGACCCTAGTGACCCCGTCTCTATCCAACAAATGCTTGATCTCGGCGCACCTTGTTTCGAGTCTGGAGGCCACTTGCTTCCACTGCTCTACGTGAGCCTTTGAGAGATGCCTTTTCACTGCGGTCGGATCTCTCACCCAGCGATTGCATAGGCAACAGTGCTGCGCAAAATGTTGCGCATGCTGCGTATCCATTAGTGACTTCCACCCTTTTTCTTCCAACAACCGGGTGATGTCTGGGTTTTCATGAGCTGGCAGCGGCGTTACTCTCGGCGGCTCGACGACTGGAGCATCACCTGTAGTCAGGAGGTTAGCTTGCATTTGCCCCATCATCAGTTTTGGGCAGTTGACTCTTTCTATGTGCATCTTGAGTCCATGCCACTCGTCGAATTTGTGTCCGCAGTATACACATTAAGGCAGATTCCCCGTAGCGTGCTTGGATGCGTCGAATGTGACACCGCCTTTGAACTTGATTTTGTGACTGATCGCCATATGTTTTTTCAGGCTAGTCATGGATGCGAAGCTTTTTTCGCAGTGTTGACACTTGTATTCATCTGCCTCTTCCTCTGGTTTTGAAGGGGGGGCCGCAGCGTTGTGTTCTTCATGCCGAACGGTAGTGAGCACATGTTGCAATTGTTCTCGCGCTAAGTCTAGCCCCCTAATGTCCTGAGGATTGTCTCTGGCAATCTTATCGAGTTTGCTCAGCAGGGTGTCTCCCTGCCTCGTCAGGGCAACGAATGGGTCCTCCGCATGCAAGAATTGTCCTGACCTGCTCATTCGTGATGTGTGTGAGGTGGGCAGGTCTTCTCGCAATTGCACGGGTCTGTCTCGCTGTCATGGCCTGTAAAGACCTTTTGCTGGTGTAGGTTACCCCTGTAGCTAGCAGTCCATATGTTGCTGAGCTCAGGACTCCGGAGCGCCAGACCTGATACCTCGGGCGATTGCTTACAATCCTTGCAGAGTTTATGGTCTTTCTCAGCTGGCTGTACTGACCTCTAGCCTTCTTCATGCGGTGTGCACATGTTCTAGCTGGTGCATCACGGTACGCAACGATAGTCCCCAAGTATTCATGGTACTTTTTGATGGGGACCCAGAGGTCTTCACCCATTTGTTGGAATTTAAAGTGTGGGATTTTGTTTCTTTTGTGTTTTCTTTTGCTAAGAAACTTATGCGCCTCCCTTCCCTGAAGGTCATAGAGGATAACGCATTTGTCATTGCTGAGCTTCATACCATACTCATTAAAGAGAGTAATGGTTTTTTCAATCCCCACGAATGCCTGTTTGAGATCGGCAAGGTTATGCACTTCCCAAGTTCCTATGGAAGCATCAGCAAAGAACGTTAACATTTTTCTCATCCACTCCGTGCCCAGGGATTTTCCGATTTCCTCAATAATAGTAAGCGTGTGGATGACAAAGAGATATGGAGCCAAGGTACATCCCTGTTTGATCCCACACGTGGTGACAACGCTGTCCTCGTGTGGGCCTATGCTTGAAAAATACCTAGCGTGTCTATAGAAATCCATGGACATGTGGATGAGGTCTTCAGGGATTTGCAGTTTTCGCATGCTGGTGGCCAGTTGATTTCTTGGCACACTATCGAAGGCACCTTCGAGGTCTAGCGAGAAGCACAACCCTCCTGCGCAAGTCTTGGATTTGATGCCTTGATGTTGCTGGTAGA